GTCTAATGAACTAAAATTATACCATCTGAACTATTATTTAGTCCTTTGGTCGATCAACTAATTAAATTATGAAATGGGATAGAACTTTCAACAACATATAAAAGTTCTAATGGTAAGCCTATTCAAGTTACAATAATCTGCTGTTTCTATAATATCCCAGCTGTCTGAAAATTATGCGAGTTTATATTGGTATGCGTTACTTATCACAGATATTTAAAGTATACACAATACAACGATCATAAATAACTGAATTTTGGGGGATTTACTGATATTAAAGAGTGGTTTATTGAAAGGGATGTAAATCATATTTGAGAAAATGCATAAAAATAGTTAAATTGTAATACCAAAGAAGCCAGAAAAATTCATGTTTATGATACTTTAGTCTGATAGTCTAAAATATACTAGCTCTAGTATTTTGATTTAATGCGATTCCTTGTTGTAGATCTTATATACTACTTGTTTCTGAGTATTGCTAAATGGATCATAACCTAATTATAAATTGAGAAAGGTAAATTAACATTACAAAAACTAAAAAATGAGCTAATAAAATAAAAGTTCTATCAGATATCAGTAGAATCCTAAATAAAATAGCAACATGTAAAGATTTTTCAGGTTTATCGCAGATTAATGGAAAACTTTATCTTGGTCTATGCAACTTCTATTATATGGGATCTACTTGAAGAATCAGATCAAATAATTTTTGCCAATTTTGTCTAGGCATGTAATATTTTCGTGTGTCAGTTAATCTTTAAGGATGGATTAGAAGAAGCTCACAATCGTCTTCTAAAAATGGTAAAGCTTATCAAAGTGAATTATGGACTGAAAAAAATCACACTAAACTTGCATCTATGCTTATATATATATCAATGTGTATTAGACTACAGTCTATTATATGTGTTTTGGTACTTTAGTTATAAACGAATGAATGGTTTATTAGGTAAAATATCATGTTTCTTATACCAATATACATCGATAGATTGTTGAATTCTTTTTAATATTTTATCTTATAGGCTCATATCATAATAGTAATAGAAAAATCAAACTAGAATTACTGAAAATAATTCAGTATAATTCTCTTCTCAAACATTTTTCATCTCATATTCAAGAACATTCACATTTATCAAATTGTTTATCTTTAATAATACCAAAAAAGGCTACCAGCAGTCTTGCAATTCAAGATGAATTTAACGAAAGAGATTATCAGGAATTCTTATTTATGTCTAAAAATATAAAAGAAAGCACAAGAGCAGGTTCAGAATCCTTTCCTGATGCTTTTCTTAATCTGAAAAAAGTGAATATAAACTTTATGGAAAAAGTAATAATTTTATTAGCTGAATATTACCATAATGTATATGATAAAGATTTTGTATTATTGTCAGAGATTCATCTCTCTGATACTATACTGATACTTCTGAAGGTACATGTTTATGGGCAGTTACAACTTGATGCTGAAATTTTCAGATCAATGTATTCAAAAGGGCATACTAAATCAGTTAAGATTTTAGTATAATTTACTCATGGAGATACTAAAGATACTTATGCTAGTGTAGTTCAATATTATTTTGAACATACTGTACACTTTCCAAAACTAGTAAGTTCTAAGAAACATTCTTTAGTATTCATGAGATGGTATTTACTGGCAGAAAATTATAAAACATTCCTTTGCAAGATTAATGGTGATGATAATTCTTGCAACATTGAGTTATAGAAGAAAAATTTTTATGATCTTAGTAGAGATTGTATAATTCCAGTGCATAGTATATTGGATCAGTTTGTTAAGGGTTCTTTTTTAATAGGCAAAAGGGAATCATGAAAATACATGACAGTAATACTAATAAATAGAAGAATTCATATCTAGTATCAGGACATATAATACAATGATTTCTTTGTTTATATTGATTGTACTGATATTCAATTTTTTAAGTATTAATATGTTTAATTATATAAATAAATAAATAATAAATGCTGAAAATAAAAGCGTTAACCTATCTACATGTTTATATTCTCTATTGTTACATATCAAATATTATTTCATAGAATATCAGATATTTATAATACTTTACTGATATCTTTTAATATTTAATAACAAAATCGGTAATATTTTATGTAAGAATTGAAAATCTGGAAGATATACAATTTACTACATAATGTTCACTAATTAAAGTTAATATGCCTTAAAAACAGTCAGTATCTCATAAGATCAGAACTATAGGTATATCGGTATGATGGGTAAAATTTTAGATAGATTTAATTGGTAGAATATGAAGTTAATTTTATTGTCATATAAATCTTCTATGAAGATCATTTTGTCCATTTTATTGCTGTCGATCAATTATATAAATCCTTAGATGTCAATTTTATTGCCTTTGATAATCACGTAGATCAAGATGTCCATTTAGTT